GGTGCCCAGGCCAGCCAGGCCCTGCTGCTCTTCATGGGCATCACCTACCTGGTGTCGCCTTTCGGTGGCTGGTTGGCTGACGCCCTCCTGGGCAAGTTTGGCACCATCCTGCTCAGCATGGCGCTCTACCTGCTGGGCATGCTGGCCTTCCCCGTCATCGCCGCACCGCACACCCGCCAGGGCCTCTGTGGGGACATCCCCTTGTTCCCCGTAGAGAACTGCTCCTCTCCGGCAGCCAATGCCACCATGGCGCCTTGCTCCCAGGTGGGAGCCACCCGCTACTGTGCCACCGCCACCTTCGTCGGACTGGTTCTCGTGGGGCTGGGCGTCGGGTCGGTCAAGGCCAACATCACCCCTTTTGGGGCGGACCAGGTCAGGTATTATTTGGCAGCTGCTGAATTGTTGGGTGCCGATCTGAACCAGGGGATGGCTGTCAGTCATACAGAGGGGCTTGCTTTGGTGGGATGGGCAGTGCACCTACTGATTCACATCTCTGTAGGTGTTAAGTCTCAGAGGGAATTAGATCATCCAGCTTTGTTCCCTGTGTAATGCAAGCTGTTAAGTTGTACCCTGCTTGATACAATTTTGGTGTCTCTGTGGTGTCTGATCTCTTATGACCCTTTGTCTCCTGGTAGCCCTGCCATAGGTGTGGTACCTGGTTTGGCTAAGGCATCACCATGATGAGGAGTTGGGTTGAATACTTAATGGCCACTAAGTGGATTGATAATTATCCTCCATTGTGGAGTTTGTACCCAGTTAATTTGACCTCAGAGCTCATCAGGTGAAATACCTGATAATACATTTTAGCTTTGACAAAGATAGCATGGGCCTTCTAGGGCAGTGGTCAGAGGCCTTTATCATCCTGTGATAAACGAAGGCTAGAGAACAAACAGTTTTTTATGCTTTACGTATTCTCTGTGTACTGCATTGTGCCCTTGAGTGATATTTTTGTGCAGGCTAATGTTGCACCAGATGACGGTGGGAAGGTGCTCTCAACATGGTAAACATATTACCTGGCTGTTCTCATAATGACATGTCCTGTCAAACGACCTTACTCGGATCCACTTCAGTGATATCATTCATTGGATCATCACTGCAGAACCAAGTGGCTTTACAGAAAATATTCGAGAGACAGCTCATAGTTCAGTATGAACTGGAATGCGCTGTTGCATGTATTTTTTTACAATCTTACACAAAGGTAGTGTGCTGACTGTGGATGTTGAATTGGAGTATAATTTCTGCTTTACAAATTGAGAATTTCAGATGCTTAGATACTGAGCAGCTTTTCTAACCAAACCGTTCTTGATGGCAAAGCAAGGAAAATACCTCCAATCCAACTGCATGTCTGTTTACTGGCCCATTGAGTTATGGTTAGTGCAGGTATCAGAAATGCCATGAAATTCTTTGCAAGAGGTAGGATCTACCACAATATCTTTGCCAAACATACCTCTGTTCTCTGCTGTGCAGTTTACATTTGTCATTCTTTGGCATTTCATATATTATAAATTCTGCAGTTCTGGGTGAAAGGCAGTATATAAATGTAAAACATTATTATAGCCTAGGATTGTGTGTCCCCAGTGTATTGGTTCTGTTTAAGCCAGCATGAGCCCATCAAGTGAAATAGCTTTAATATGACTTTATCTTGTAAGGTGTTTTTCAAAACTGACTGCTTATCCCCAGAACACTTTATGAACGTTAAATATAAGACATAAATAATGGCAGGAACAGAGCAAGAGAAGAACCATTGCCAATGGAAGTGTAGCTGTGTAGCTGGATTTTTTTAAAGGCTTTCCCCCCCAGGATTTCACGGAAAGCAGTTTTTGGCTAGGTTTGCAGATAATTCACAGTGATTTATGTAGGGTGAAGCAAAAGAAGTACTCCTTTCTGGTTCATAATAATCAGCAGAGCTCTGCTGGGGACTGAATTTTCTCCCTTCTCTGTTTTTCTGGCTTATCTACTGTTAAATATATTACAGCATACCACTTACCTGTTGTGCAGTTTTGGGCCCTCTTGGGTGCCTTCTCCCTGCATAGGAATGTAGCAAACTGCTGGGGAGATGGATATATATTGCTGAGAATAAAGTCTGTCTCCCAGAGTCACATTCTTGGGAGGCCAGAATACAATGCAAATATGTTTTGGCTGGGCGTATGCTGATAAGATTTTCCTCTTTCCAAAACAAAGGAAAATATGAATTGTATGTCGTGTACTTTAGCTGACATGAACTACCTTTCAGATATTGTTAATTACATTTCATTGCAGATCTCTTAAAAATTACCATGTACATTTTTCAGTTTTAACGGATAATCTATAATTTGGGTAGAGAACCCATATATAATGAGGATTTTTTTATTTAGAAGAAAAGAATCACTTTGTGGAACATTGGAAACTAAATTCCAATACTTATTCTCCTCTGAGGTTAAAAAGATGTAGTTTCTTAATATCTGTTAAATGGATGCTTTTAGAAGTGCTGTTACAAGTGACTAAGTAGACTTAGTATAGAGTAACTTTTGCCAGTCAGCTTAGCAAAAAAAGAGTTACTGCAAACTAGGTACGGACCAGCAGACTAGCTTTACTTAACTGTGTTTATAAATAAGAGCCATTTTTCTAGAAGTTGCAGACTGATCCATCATACAGGTCTAAATCTGAACTGATGGTTCTCAGAATAGTGGTTTTAATCATGTGATGTGTATAACCTGGCACTTTCCAGTTCCCCTTTTAAGTGCGAATGTTTTGCAGTCACTTCCTGTTCTATGTAGCAGTTTGTGACTTTCTGTAGTTAGGAAACAATGTGACTATCCCTCATTATTGTGAAAGCTGGTTTAGCTTCAGCGTTGAAGCCAATATTAGTAGTAGACTACTGATCTTGTATCGGCTATAATCACTGTTCTGATTATAGATGGATCTGTTTTGGGGTTATGGTAATCACTGATGCTAGTTTTAACCCACAGTATATCTTCTTTCTGAATTGCCATCATAGTCAAATCTATCGGTCCATAACCTGCCAAAAATCTTCTAGCTAAAGAAAACCATTGTTGTTACAGTGGCATCACCAGAGGCAGGACGCTACTGGAAATTGCTGGTGTAAAGATGGCTTTAGAGTGATTTTTGACCTTTATTTATTTATTTGTAGAACTTAGATTTTCCAGCTTCTGGGGAAGGATGGGGGACCATGTGTAAAGAATTGAAGGTCACTAACTGCAAGTTACTTTGTTATTGTTGTTGTTGTTGAACTTCTCAGGAGACTGTGGACATCTAAGACTCTGCAGATAACAGTTTGAAAACTCAAGTTGTGGCATTCACATGGGCAGTACTAATTTGTTTCTGTTTCCGACAGAAACAGAATAGATATGACACTAGTGAGAGGAAGCAGACTTTAAATGTGAACTGGCCAAATTTTAGTATAAAAATTTGAAATTATGTAGCAACTGAGTAGTACTGTATAGCTCTGTTACGGAGCTCTCTCCAGATGCTCTCAAAGAATAACTGGTGTCTGTAGTGATGGATTAGAAGGTGAGAATTCTGCAAGTGTAAATTTGACTGCGGAAAACTATTGTCATTGCTCTTCCTTTTGTAGGTGAAGGACAAGGGCAAGCTTCTACATTTTCATCCTTGCTCTGTTGTGTGACTGCTCACATAGTTGGCTGGGATAAGTTTGGGTTTTTTTTTTACATTTGTCACTTGTGACTGTCAGTCGATTGCAGGAACAAATGAAAACTGCTCATGTCAGTAACTTTTAAATAATCTTCCTTTTATGTGAGTCAAATAGGAGGTCATAGCTTTGGATCTGTCATGATGTGAAGAGGGAGAGAGGGAAGATTATGACCTACTGGAATTCTGAAATGTTGGTGTTTAGGAAATACCTGAGATCTTTAGCAGATGATGTCAGGAATCAGATGTCACAGTGGAATGGTAGGCACCAGATAGGCACTAGCTGCAGCTAGTGCCTGTGGATAACCATTTCTTTGAAACTGACCTAGCTGTAGAGAGCTAGGAAACTACTTTGTGACAAAGCAAAGCACCTAAACAGAGGAACTATGGAGAAGCAATGATGCTTGTATAGATTCCTGGCTCTTTACATAAAAATCAGGAGGATATAATAGAATCTTAATATTTGAGCTGTGTAATATTTTTGGTTTCAAGCTGTACGAACTGCTTTGGTTAGTACTTGGATCATCTCCTAAGGAAGATACTGGTGTTGAAAAATCCAGGGGAGGGATAATTCAGCAAGTGATCATCTTTCTTCTAGGTCAGAATGAGGTCTAAGTATTAACTTTAGGGACAGCTGTGCTGTGGAAGTTGCAGTCGGTCAGATATTTGTAATGACTTTTCATCAGGTGTTGTAACTAAAGATCTAGTTACTCTTTCTCTCTTTCTTTTAGTTGCATTTAAAATTTTGTTCTGATTGTAATATGTTAACCTTATATCCTAAATGAGTTTAGAGTATTGCAGTGCAGAGTTACACAGCTGATGTGTCCTCTGCTGAAAGTGGCTGTAAATAACCTAATGATTACACAATTCCCATAATATAGTGTTCCAGGCACTCAGGATTCTTTATCATGAAAACTGTGGTCGTAATTACATCTCATCTGACCATAATCATTCTGATATAAGTGTTTTGTATTAGAAGTATTGATTTGGAGAACTATTCTTTTACTATTTTGAAATCCAGTGCAATATAGGTCCCAGTTACAAAACTCAGAATGTCACTATGCTTTTTTTTCTGCGTTTGGATTAACTATATGTAAACGATAGTTATTAGATATATCAAGAAAAACACCTTTTGGACTGTAGAAAAATCAAGTGTTAGGTTAGATTTTCTATTGCAAAAATTATGTTAGATATCTTGAAAGTAGCAAGATTATTTTATTTCCTCTTTAGAGGCCCACCTGAATGCAGGCAGCATTGACATGTGGCCAATGACCGACAAAGCAGCTGTGGCCAGAATACTTAGTTGCTCATTTCCTTCATTTCTTTGTTGGTGGGGTTTTCTGATGTGGGTTTTTTGTTTAGTTTTGTTTTGTTTTAATTAAAATTTGCCCTATAGTTTAAAAGAGGAAAATTTAGGGAAATCGGAATGCTTCTTGTATGATACAATAGGTCATTCTGTATTTTTATTGAAGTAGAAGCACTACTGGATTGTTCCTTAGTGTTCTTGGAGAATGATGTGCTATCCCATTTAGTAGGGAAAAAAGGTGTGAAAGTTTGAAGAATGCAGAACAGTGAACTGGAGACTCAGGACTGGATATTATGCAATGGGAGTTGATCTAAATAAGTGACAGCTGTCCAACACTAGTAAATTCTGTGGAAAATGTCTGAATCTGAGCTCATTTGCAAAACAACGTGTTACCTAGAGCAAATAAATTGTGTGTATTAGATACTTGTTAATGTTTGTCTGAGTCAGGGCACCTTTGAAACAGTTTTACTACAGTGGTTTTGTTCAGTGATAGGAAGCCTTGCACTCTAGCCGTGGCATTTTGCTGATATTGTTTGCATTCTCCTGTTGTAAGGAGTTTGACTAAAACATGTTAAATCTCAGAAGGTGACATTTTTCATACCTTTTAGGCACTACTACTGTTTTTAAGCTGTTTTGTTGTGATGGGGACAAAATCTTTTAAACATACCTACTTTGACTTTCCGAGCAGGGATGTTGAACCCTTATCCGACAGGACAGATTCGATCCAGGACCCACACCATACTTCTGCCATTTATGTGCATCATTTTCCTGCTGCAGTTGCTGGTAGGATGTTAAGAATATAATGAAGCTGGTGATGCTGGTACCACGAGGAGAGTGCTGCTATGCTTGAGCACAGATGAAATTGAGCAGAGGGAGTGATAGATTTTTCTTTCTGCTTGGGTGATTGAAAATAATGCAAGCATAAGGGAGAAAAGGAGAATTCCTGCAGTTTTGTGAAAAATACTTGTTCTTGGTAAAAATAAAATAATAAAATTCTAAGATGGTTTTCTTCTTCTTGGTCCCTTATTAAAATGTAGCATCTAGTTTTGAAGAGAATAAACCAATCTATTTTGTGCTGTCACACAGCTCAAGTAATAGCCAGCAGGGGGAAACTTTGAGTAGTCCGCTGTAAATGTAATATAGCTAATATTTTGGGCAGCCGATGTGATGTTGGAAAGGAACTACAAGGATTGCCTTTTAACTTTACCGTGTTTTCTGGTTTTGGTATGACATCTTCATAGTTCTTCCACTTTGACAAGGTATTCCACCAGCTAGTTCAGTGTGACTTTTATTAAGTTATTGATGTTTGTCAATAAAATGCCATAGTGGCATTTCAGACGTGGCTGTGATGTGATTTTTAGTGTGTATATATGTTTTGATAAGGAAGCAGAAAATGGATTATTTTCATTTTAAGTCTGTGTCTGTCCCTTGAGCATTGCATTCCTTTTTGGTCACTCTGTTTCAAAAAGGATAGTGGAGCTGGAGAAGGAAGTTTCAGGGAAGGGCCACAGACATGGTCAGTAGTTTCCATGCAGGGAATCATGGAACAGTCTACAACTTCCTATCTCTGAAAAGGCAGCTAGAAGGAAGGTGTGACAGTGGTTTGTGGAAATAATGGTCAGGGGCAGAGAGGCAGAAATGGACCAGGCATGGGATAAAGCTCAGCTGTCTTGTGTTGTTTCCTGGAACTAGGGAAAACGCGTGAGGCTAGCACAAGGCAGGTTCAAATGGAGGTGGTTCTTCCCACTGTATAATTAGCTGAGGAACTCTTTGCCACAGGATATTATGGATTCTAAAAGCTGACCTGGGTTCAGAGGCAGGCTGGACAAGTTCATGGAGAGGAGCTCTGCTGCATTTATTAAGTAGGTAGAAGCCATCCTTGGTTCAGAAAGTTTCTCAGGAGCTAATGGTTAGAGGCTGGGATAATTCTTGATAGAAGCATCGTGCTGTGCTTGCCCTGTTCTTACCCATGTCAAAGTTTGCTTTCATCTCCCAGCTTTTCTTTGCATAGATGTGAGCAAGGTCATTTGTAAGAGAGAGGATGGGAAGTCATCTTCCTTGCAGAAATTATAAGAGAACTGAGACTTTTTGATGAAGAAATGGAAACTTCATAAAATAGATTGCTAACTCTTTACATAAGTTGGAGCACTGTGTTTACGATGTAATTGTTTGCTAATATCCTGCTGCCATTTGGGGTTTAGAAGGAATTCCTAGCTTGATACACTACTGCAGGTGATTACTGTTAAAATTAGGAAATGAGTACCAAGTTGAAACTGGAAAGGGAGAATTTCTTGGATTTAGGCTCTAAGATTGTATTTGACATGCTAACAGACCTACCTGGCTGCCTAACAGTGCTATTAACTATGCATAGGAATAGATGCCTTAATATTTCTTTTGTTGGGCTTGGTTAAATGATACAGATGGGTTTGTGCACCACTGAGAATCTTGAAGCTGTAAATCAGAACTGAAAATGGTAAAAACTTATAGAATCATAGAATCATAGAATCATAAAGGTTGGAAAAGACCTCTAAGATCATCAAGTCCAACCGTTAACCCAACACCACCATGCCCACTAAACCATGTCCCTAAGCACCTCATCTACATGTCTTTTAAATACTTCCAGGGATGGTGACTCCACCACTTTCCTGGGCAGCCTGTTCCAAGGCCTGACCACTCTTTCAGTAAAGAAGTTTTTCCTGATGTCCAGTCTAAACCTCCCTTGGCGCAACTTGAGGCCATTTCCTCTCGTCCTATCGCTTGTTACTTGGGAGAAGAGACCAACCCCCACCTAAAGGTCCTTATTTCAAGACAGCTTGCTTTTCATATTGCAAACTAAACACAGATCTTTTGAAGATTGGGCAAATGAGGAAGGGAAACTTGCAATTAGAAATCAAAACCAACTCACTCAAAGACCGGTGCATGGCACTGACTTGCTAGTCCCTGCTAATGGCCTTTCAGTCATAAAACAGTGACAAATATGGTATTATGAATTCTTCTACAGACTAGTTGATCTTTTTAATGTATTTCAAATTTTAACTTGCATAATTTCTCTTACATCACATCTTACAAGTGATGCTGGGTTCCTGTGACTTAATTACAAAAGATAGGGTGACTTATGGTAGGCAATACAGAATAAAGAGTAATGGTGAAAACTGTACAGGAAAATTCTATAAACCAAAGATGTCTTTACTTTCACTGGAGAGGCATCGAGAGCTTCAAGCAGAAAAATAGCACTATGAACAGTGCTGACTTAATGGAGGGATAAATGTTTACTGGGGCCTTGTAACACCTCAGGCAACCCAAATTTAATTTTTTTTTTTTTTAAAGGTCAGAATGGCAAGTCTTCAATTTATGTTCTGATGACAGGCATTAGGACTGTGTTAAAATTTAAATTTGTGCTTTAATTACCAAGTAGTCATTTGAGGCTTAGAAAATGGAATATGGTAAACTGTTATGTGTATACAGTTGGAAGAAGCAATTGCTGCAATGCTACTAATACATGAATTTTTAGGTAGCTTAACTTTTTTTAACTAAAAAAATAGTTGTTTCAACTTCTGTGGACTATGGGACGTTAATCTGAGAGAGCTTTGTCTAGAGAAATGACCAAACGAGAGACAGCGCAGTAGAAATAATAACAGCCTTTATAGGGAAGCTATGTAGTTATTGTATGGCTTTTTTATCCCTATGCTGAACTTCTAGAAAGTCACTGATATAATGGGGTAGCTCAGTAAGGTGTCATTTCATCAAATACCATGCTAAGCCCAAACACTTTAATCATTTCAGTATGACTATAAATTAAACCTGAACTCTTCAGTGCATTGAACTTGATTGAATTCTAATAAACAGGCTTAATTTTCTTCAGAAATTGAATTACTTGCTTTTAATCTTTTCCAGGTCAAAGATCGGGGTCCAGAAGCCACAAGAAGATTTTTTAATTGGTTTTATTGGAGCATTAATTTGGGAGCTATTCTTTCTTTGGGAGGCATTGCATACATTCAGCAGAATGTGAGCTTTGTTATTGGATATAGTATCCCCACAGTTTGCATTGGGATTTCATTCATGGTTTTCTTATGTGGTCAGAGTTTCTTCATCACAAAACCGCCGGATGGTAGTGCCTTCACAGACATGTTTAAAATTCTCGCATATTCTTGTTGCTCAAGAAAAAGACATGTGGAACGTTCAACTAATAGGTTTGTAATGAGCTCCTTTGTTTAGTCTGAATTCAGGGTATCAGCCTAAGAGTTGGAACTAGTTAGTTGAAACTAGCTGGCAGTAAGTCACGCTAGAGAATACACTAGAATACGCAGTTTTGCTTTGAGAACTGGAACTGGAAAATCGGAGTCCTGGAGATATTTTCTGGGAGTTCTGGAATGAAAGAGAGGCACATTTTGAGATCACTGGATCTCCATGCTGCGAGATCAAGTCTGCTGTTTTCAACTGAATCCTCTGTCTTGCCAGTTCAGAGTTTTTGAAAGTGTAATGTAACCGAAGTATGTTGCTTTTAAGCATTATTTAACTTTCTTCTCTGCTTAGATATGTTTATGGGATGCCTTCTGATTTGAAAAACACTATCATCTGCATTTAATGTTTTAAGTAAGTGGCTTGATGGGCAGCCAAAATGTGTACTGGCTTTTTGCTTTCCAAATAGTTACTCCACACTTAAGAGATGCCCATGGAATACCGGTGGCTGAATTTAGTCACTGATGTTAAGAGATGTCAAGTGCCTCCTCTGCAACGGGCTTTCATGTATTCAGATTGCAAAACAATTCAATGAATTAGAATAACCTGTATTTTGTGATACTGTTTCTTAAGTTCTGCATATTGCAGTGCCAGTTATTTATGCGTGGTGGGGGTAGGATGGGAAATAAGGAAACCTTTATAATGGAAGTTTTCAGCTTGTGCTTTCACCTGCTGATGATCCATTCTGGCCTAGTTGTTTTGCTGTAACTTAGAAGAGTAACGTATTTTGAAAGTGCATGAGCTTTTTATAATGAAGTGTCACAAGATTGCCAGTTATGTCAGTTTTTGTTGTTGTTTAACTAAATGTTTCAAATTCTTTTCAAAAGCGAAGGCCAGGGAGTACTTCAGCAACCTCGCAAGCAAAGCCTGTTTGAGATGGCCAAGCTGTCTCGTGGGGGCCCATTCAGAGAAGATAAAGTAGAAGATGTGAAAGCTCTCGTCAAGATTATCCCTGTCTTTTTGGCTTTAATACCTTACTGGACAGTGTATTTTCAAGTGAGTAGTTTGAAATGGTTAGATTTGTATTTTACATGTCTAAAAGACATAATTTCTAATTTAAGGGCTGTAACTTCCTCTTCTCTCAGTTGCATTTGAAAGGTCTCAGGGCATTAGCATTAAGTTGCAGTTCTGAGCCTGTGTTATAAACCTAACTCCTGTCTGAAAATTGCCCCCCAGAGCAGTTACATGGAGGAAACACACAGAAGCTTTTTGGGGGAAACTGTTCTATAAGGTTTACTTACAGTTAGCATTCAGTAGCTGTGATTCTAAAGAAGGTGAATATTGAAGAGGATTTTTCAGAACTCTGGTATTGACAGTTTGACTTCTTTAATACCCATGTGTTCAATGATGTTAACTACTTGTCTTTCACACACCTGGGTCACACATCTCAGGAATCATTTTAATAATATTAAGTTAGCAAAAATAATACTGTGTGAGGGTAGCTTCTTCTGAATTTTTTTATTTGCTATATAAAATTGTTGTGGAAAGCTTTATTAGCTTACCAGTATGCCAGAGTATCTCATTTCACATTTTTCTGGCGGCTCTTTCGTAAATATGAAGTTGAGAGATGAAAAATGGCTGCTAAGAATAGTTTCAAATAATATCTTAATAATAAAAAAGAAAATAAACTCATTAAAATTATAGATAAAACTAACAGTTGAACAAATTAACATATCTTAAATATTGCGCTCTGTTTCATCTTGCAGTTGATTCAGATAGGTCAATCTGAATGGTCTAGATTTCATTTTAATTAATTCCTTTCTGGCTCTTCCGTCTTAGTGAGATGAATTAGGATAGCAAATATGTTTTGGGGGAAAAATATGCAGAAATTGCTTTTGAAGTCACATGAATGATTCTTTGTGCTTTTAGTAAAAATAAATGTAAGGGTTAAAAAAATCTTGCAGTGTTCTAACAATAATTCTTTTTGTTTTGCTATATTAGCACTTTACCTCTGGTATAATCTTTGTTAATTATTAAAAATGTAAAACTATCTTGCTCTCTGTACTCCTTGTCCAAGTAATCTCAACTCATCTTTCCTAATGCTAGATGCAGACAACATATGTATTGCAAAGTCTCCATCTGAAAATTCCTGAAATATCAAATGACACCAACTCTATTCATACGGTAAGCAGGGCAAAACAAGTGAAAAGTTTTTTCTTTAGTTGAAATGCAAAATAGGTAAGTATTGTACAAAAATTTCAGGAAGTTAAGGTAGTGACTAAGGGGAACTGATGGCCACAGACATTGGGCATTTAGAAGCATGACACATAATACAGAGATTTTGGTATTCCTACCTGTATATCGAGTTCACACCATCGGGTTTGAATGTATTCAGATAATTTTCACTGATTTAATTAAGCATGTCTTTCAAACTGCTGAATATTTTCATATAGCCAAACCAGCTTATTATTCCATTTTCAAATCCATGATCTTGAAATGCCGGGGAAACATTAAGGAGAGGTTAGGATGAATTCAGTTTTACCATCATCATCATAACTTCTTGGGGTTGGCAAACTATGAACCAGAAGGCATTTGCCTGCGTTCTTTGGAAAACTGCAATGACGATTGTAATGCAGAGCAAGAAAGCAATAGTATTTTTAATGACCGTGGTTACAACATGTCTGCATGCAGAGAGTGCTAAAAATGTGCCACATACATACGCTAATGCTGGTTGGAGATTTTGACAAAGCCTAATATGGTTTTGATGTCAGTCAAAGACTTGGTGCTCTTGGTGCAAACTCCTGCTTTGATTATGAAGAACTAAAGGTTCACGTTTTGCTAACTCTTGTTTTTGCAGTTCGTCATCATCTCAGCCATACTGGAGTGATTACAACCAATCAGTGAAATAGGGCGAGAGGTGCATGCCCACAACGTGTTAGAGGCTGAGGGCTTGGGTTATTGAGATGGTTGCAGTGGTTGAGATTTGTAGCCTTAAGGGAATCTGGTTGTCTTCCTCTGTTACTGTGGCTGTAGCTTTAGATTGTCACAGGCCCCTTGGTCATCCTGGATAATCTCTAGAAAATTTTCATCTATTCTAACCCTGAGTTTCCACACACACAGAATCAGTTTAGTACCAAAAACTGAATCCGCATCTGAAACTCACAGATCAAGCAGTGCTTGTATTTTGGGTGAAAGAGTCAGTGTGATGCATAGTACAGTATTACACTGGGGATATTTTAAAAAATATCCCCAAACCAGAACATTTTTTATAAATCTTCCTGTACTGTCTTGGTTTGTTAGCTTAGACCAGAATATTATTAAGCGTGGTAGAAATTGTCTCATTCATACAGTCGGGAATCTTATTGTCAATTACTGAATCTTGCAAATGAGAAAGAATGCATGTATTACACAATACTCTTTGTTCATTTGACAAGTGTAATTTAATTTTAATTGAATTTTGTATTACATTAGTAAAACTGTTTCTCCTGTTTTGAGGCATGTTTCTGAAAGTTCTAAGCCTAATAATAGAAGATCTACAGAACCTGGCTATTAAATACTTTTCATGACTGAAGTAGGAAAAACGTTTAATTGTGTCAGACTAGACTGTAAGCACAATAGTAGGGACTATTTAATTGCATTAAATCACTTCCTGACCAGTGTGCCATTAATATTGACTTCGAATGCTTTTAAAAATGTATCTTGGGATGTATTCATTTAAATAATCTGCACAATTTTATTTACTAAATTTGAGTGGCACAATCAGTCATTCCTCAGACAAGTGTTCTATGACTGAAAAATCTTAATGGCAGAAAAGCTCCCAAAAGACAGTGATTTTTTCCATTAAACGTATTTCACGATGTATGCAGAAAACCTCAGATGTTGCGATAATGCTAATGCCCATCTCAGCTTTCAAAAGGAATTCATATAGTTTTAGTTAGATAGTTAACTTGTTTTAACAAAAATTAATTCAGAGTAAGGACCTAAAATACGAGCCCTCTGAAACTTAGAAATCTTAAAAAAAAATCCTTTGCAAAACATCTTTGCCAAGTTCTACATTTTGTTTTCTCAGAGTACCCTCTTCATCTTCCCAGTAATTTCTTATTCTTCATTTTCCTTGGAACTATGTGCAGTAGTATTTGCTTTTGTGTAAAGAACCTTTTTGCTCTGAACACTTGATGTTCTTCAGTTCCAGCAGAAAGCTCCTATACCCCCTTCATCCCCCTCAAAAAAAAAAACCAACACCCACCTCAGCACAGCTGGAGATGCATCTTGAAAGTGAGAATATGCAATACTGTTGGAGTTACTATGGTGAGGAATCATGTGTGCTTCTGAGCTAACAGAATTATGAACTGCCAAATCAAATGAAAACCTGAATAGCTGAGTGTTTATTTTCTTCAGCTTTTACACACTCTTATTTTTCTTTTCCCAGTGTCTGTCAGTGCACTGTGGTTTGTTTTGGATCTCAGTGTTTCATGGAAAATATTTTTTCCTTGGTTAACGAATAGTAAAAATCAACCCTTAAGTATGAAATTGCTAATATAAGTCATCTGTCCTTTCAGTTTCCAGCAGCCTGGTTGACTATGTTTGATGCAGTGCTTATTCTGATCCTAATACCCTTAAAAGATAAATTGGTGGACCCCATTTTAAAGAGGAATGGCTTGCTCCCATCCTCACTGAAGAGGATTGCAGTTGGAATGTTCTTTGTAATGTGTTCTGCATTTGCTGCAGGTAAGAAAACAACTTTGAGATCTACTTACATAGCTATTTATTCAGCTACTTGCAACAGCATTTTTAAAAAGCCTTTGTGAATCTTTAATTCAAGATTATTCAGAAGTCTTTTTCATGGGATTGTTAGAATGCAACTGCATGAATGCATTTCCCACAATGAAAGAGATTTTATCCAAAAACTTACTAAACTGTTTTGAACAGTTTGCGATAAAATTGGACCATTTTTCCTGCCTGAAATAGACTTCAAGTATACCTTTTAAAACCAACTTGCTAGTTAAGGTTTTCATATATAGTGTTACTTTCTAGTATGCTTGGTAGAGGAGAACTATTTGTTTTCTGACCATACTTTCTCAACACATGCCTTAGCTTCATGATCAGGGTTTGGGTTGCCTGAACAAAGTGTCCAGCATTTGGATGTAAGACTGTTAGTCCTCCTAAAATAAACTTTATGGTATTGTGGAGGTCCATGTTGTCTGATTTATTAACCATTTATCTTGAAGTTGAAAATTTATTTATCCTGAAAAACAAATTAGTTCAGAAATAAGTATGTTCCTTCATATGGTCTGACTTCCAAGTAGTAAAAAAGTGAAATTTTATCTAAAATCCTTTCCCTTTATCTGAAATAATAAAGTTAAGTTATGGCTGAACAAGAGTTTCCTCCCACTTAGGGTTTTTTCTCCCCTACCTTAATGTTCCCTAATGTTTGGGAATTACTGTAGTGTAAAATAGCTTAGCCTTAGCATGAAAGGAAAAAGACAGCAACTGTTCGAACCATAAATCAGCTGCTTTTGAGATGATTTAAAGTAGTAAAGCACTGCTGATGTGGAACTGAACATCTCTGAGCAATGCTTCATAGAACCTATAGCCTTCACCTAGTATCACTGTAATGAACATATTGATAAAGCATTATAGCATTAAATAAATTAATTTCAGCACTTGTAATCTCCTATATTTTAGAGAGAGGGACACTTTATACGGCTATTAAGATTTCTCTCAACGAGAGAGATAATTACCTTATTAGGCCAAGGTCACTTTGTATGTGGGCAAGTAAAGTTCTTAAAGCAAAGTCATTTAAACTTAAAATAGGAATGTTTCTCTTATTCCATGTTACTTAGGACACTGCTACCAGCAAAAGAAGATGATGTAAAACAGTTAAATGTCAGGTCTTTAAATAGAACCTGCTGGCTCCCATGTAAGTGAATTCAAAACCAGCAATATCTGTCTTTGTTAGTACTGGGGGGAAAAAAGCATATCGAGCTATGATAGCTGAGTTGGGGAATGGTTTCATATAGCAGAATTCTTAAAAATTTCAAATGCCTTCTTGTTTTCTATTCACCTACAAATCTAACACATGCTTTTATTGGTTTGATCCTCCCCTAACTCTTCCACAGTAGAAAATGAGAAGGTGAATTCTTTGGGTGGTTATACCTGCAATCTGGTTGGAAAGTTTTAACCTTTTGGAGTAACTTAACATCTCTTCATCATAACATGAATTCAAGAACTTCAATTGTGACAAATTTGGGGCATAGGAAACTTTGTTTATTTCTAGCTGGGGGGAAAGCTTCTGTTGGTTTATCTGTTTCATAAAGTTTTTATTTTCTCATTAAATGATATTTATAGAAGCCATATTTTAATATTCTTAAAATACAACATTACTTCCAACCATTTCTGCCTTAGAGAGAGATACTGATTAAAATCTTAAAAGTATGAAGATGTTAATATCTTAACTTGCAATCTTGGAAGTATCTTAATGATTTGTTTGTGCCATATGTCCATTTTAACTTACTTATCTAACTGGCATTAGTTCTGGACATGACTTAGGCTGCCTATTAGATTGTTTAGATTATTTTAGATATCTTATAAACTGTGTGAGAATACAACTGATTAGATTTAATGAACATCTGCTGTGCTTCATGCATTTTATCGTAAATTCTGAGCAGCAGTATTTAAGATTATTCAACTGGAAAATCTACTTCATTTATAGAGTTTAAACAATTATAGCAAGAACTTAAGATTCTTTTAACTACTAAAACTGTAAGATTAAGCTTGAAGTTTGTCTATCAAAGTCTAAGAAAGAATCAATAGATTCTAGATTCTGAAGTACTTGGCTTTGAAGATAAATTTATGGCCAAGTTTGGTATATGGTAGTTATGTTCCTATGTGGCTAAATGCCTCCTAAATCTGCTTATGTTGTGAAGAGTATCAAACACATTAAGGATCACTACATGTTGTGAGGTGCAATAATTCTGTGTTGAATGTATATGAATGAAATTATGTCTGAGTTCTTAGCTGACCGTACTGCTTAGTTTACATTTTAACTAAGTTCCACTCTAAAATGTTTGTCAGCTATATTAAAACCAAAACATCAAGAAATCCAGCTTTATTTTAATTACATCAGCTCTTCATAGTTCAGAGGGTACTAAGGTGGCTGAAGAGCTAAAGAAAGATACTTAAAAATAAGATGGGTAAGTGGTCACCTAAAAAGAAGTGAGGAAGGTAGAGAAAATGTGGTGGCCTGGCACTAAGAGGTACTACGTTCAGAACAGTCTTTACCTCAAAAACAAATGTTAGTAAGGAAAACACTCTTTTTAAGAAACATTTTGGGGCCTCAAGGTAGTATTTAAACAAACTTGAGTAATTCTGAACTGTTTTGCCTCTACAACTCTTGTGTCTCAGAAGATTAGACTGTAGAGCTGTTGCGAGATTTCATACTTTAATAGATTCTGAACTGCTATGAATGAATAAACATGGATTATACAAATGCAGCTTTCCATCCTTTTCAAAGTACTTTGTAAGTCACTTTTGAATGCGTGCTCCCTCAGTCTCCTTTTCAGAGCTCTGGCTCTAACTCCCTACAATGATGAAATACAATGTTATTCTTAAGTGTGCGAGTTCTAGAACTACTTGTTTAGTTATGGCCTCACCTACAGACTATATATAGGGACTACAGGGAGCTTTCCTCATGCTTTCTTCCCAGCCTGGGTCTCTTGCCATGACCAGGACTAATAAGAAACTGTCGTGGTATGAGGTGGTTTTGGCGAACATCAGTCATTTCCCTTGGAACACTGTCGCTTAGCAGAGAGATGATGATGTGGTTGGCCCCCTCAAGGTTTGTATGTCACAGATTTGGGAAGAAACAGGAGAACAGATATTATATTTTGTATTAGAAATTGCTTGTGCTTGTTTATATGAAAAGTGCTGTCAATAACTTCAGTCAACATCATATTAAATGTCCATGCCATCCTTTGGCTGCCTCTAGGAAAGAAAAAGCTAGAAGTGAGGAAGTAGACATAATCACTTGTACATGGTATGATATGCATGAAGCATCGCGTCTGATATCTAAGCCTTGTACAATTTTTTTTGTAACAGGATATTTTGTGCCCCAAGATTAGGTCAGATCTTGGCTCAGTAAGTAGAAAGAGACTGAAACTGACAGGCACTAAATGGGAGGCCATGTGTTTATAACACGTATTATAGGAAGTAATGTCATAGACTCAACCTTGCTCCTCTGAATGGTGAATAAATCCACCTTACTTCCAAGGATATAGACATTCTTTCTGGGTGAAACAGGGAGTTTTATTAACTCTGAGCTATTCTGTGCATTTTATGTAATGGTGAGGCAAATCCTTTCATCTGGGCAACTTCAACAAAAACATTATTTGATATTCAGCATTATTTGATATTCATTTTCTACTCTAACCTGTTGTGTTGAGCAAGCTAAAAATTGTTATATTTTACACTATCATGTCCAATTTTCATTCTACATGAAGTGCTTTCTTTGCAGTGTATTGCTTGTAAATCAAGCTCTAATGAGCTTTTGGATCTCTTGGGATGAAAAGTGTCATATAAATGTCGTGATCATATTCATAGAGGGTTTTCATAGTTCCACAGGACTAGTGTAGGCATTTTGATAAGCAAAATGGTTTCTATTTTATTAATACAATGGTGGCAGATGCAGTGGTTCAACACTGCAAAGTAGTAGTTTGTGAAAACGAGATTGTCTTTAAAAAAAACACAACATAGTTTGTATGAGAAAGCTCTCAGCAAATCCATCTGGAAAAGGGTTAAGTATTTGTATAATTATTGCTACTGAATAAGAATATAATCACTAATTCTATGGCAGAAAACTGTATGTCTTGAAATAACAATAGCAAAAGTCTGAAATGCTTTATGTTAGGAAATAAGGAGATACATATTCCTATTTTATAATTTGTAATTGCAATGCAAGACTGAATCCTAATTTAATTCTTAATATGAAGAAACAGTGTTTGCATCTTAGGTCAATCTTTTTTCCCCCCTGCTCCATACAGGAATTCTGGAAAGCAACAGACTGAAAGTTGTAAAGGTTAAAACAATTAATCAGACAATTGGAAATGTTACATACTATGCTGCAGATTTGCCAATATGGTGGCAGATTCCTCAATATGTGCTGATTGGATTCAGTGAAATATTTGCAAGTATAGCAGGTAAGAGTCTATGTGTGTTTTAAATCTGCTTTCATATCTATCATAAATGATGGATTCTTAGAAAAGAAATATTTACTTCTCAAATCATTATAAATAAGCTCTAATGTTCCCAAATACAGTACTATACAATATAACTTAAGTGGCAAAGCACACAATTGTCTTTCACATTTGAAAATTGGCTATGTAAGAATATGTTTTCAAGATAGAATTTCAAGCAGACCAACATTTAAATATTTGCGTGTCATCCAGTTAGCACTGGATATTTGCAAGCCCTAATGGAAAACAATATACTCTTTCAATATTGTATTTTAAAGAATAGTTTTAATGCAGTATTGTTTCCTCTGAATCTTCCTTTGTGTTGCAAATAAAATTTGTGCTTTGTAATTTTTTTGGCTTAAAAACTGAGTTCACAGTTTAGAAAGTCAATTAGTAAGTGCAAACACCTTTCTGAGGGAAAAAGGAAGAAATAAACCATCTTTAGAAAGATTTATTACCAGTTTAAATTAGTATTATTTGAGTTTTTACATCTTTGAAATAAGAAAAGTTATGTGACACTCAATCTAAACTAGTTTTTTTGTGAATATTAATAATGAAGTAGCTATTTTTTATACAGTTTTATCTGCTTTATTTAGAGATCAGTTTTTCTGTAGTTGTTTTAGTACTTCAGTGTAATACTAGGCAAACTGAAAACACTGTTCAAATCTTGCCTTTCTTGAACAAATGCAAGAGATCTTAAATTTCTTAATACTGTTCTGTGTGATGTAGTGGACAGTTGTGTGATCATACTGATTTTTAAGCTGAAAGTGAAGTGGGAGGAGAGGGTGAATAGGACTATAAAATCTTATTTTCTGGTCTGTTTCATATACATGCAGTGCTCATTAGCAGGAAGAAAGCACAGGCAATTTATCTGTTGTCACTGTGGTATGCCTAACACCGGTTTACTATGATTGAAATGCTATTGTGAATCTCTTAGCACAGTGTTTACATATCAAGGGCTTGGGAGCAATGCTTAGTTACCAGTAACAGAAACCTTTCATAATTGTAGAAGTAGCTATTCTGATACTACTTAAATAGAATTGCAGAGCTACCTGATGTAATATATTGGAACTCCTCCAGTGACTTGATTTAAAAATCATTTAGTATTTGCTTAACTATAGGTACTTATTAATGTGTTGAAATACTGTTTCAGAATATTGAACTTTGAAGGTCATCCATTCAAACTGGCATTACATATAGCTTTTTTTCTTCGATTCCTTATGACAGAATTTCCTGGTTTCGTTTCCCCTGTAGGAGGTTACTTTCATTCCTCATGCTGGGCAAGCACAGTGGGTTAAAATGAGATTCTCTAATTCTGTAAGATCTTGCTGGCGGTAGCCCCAGCTGTCACATGGCCTCCCCCTGTTAGTGGAACAGAGAACTTCTACTCCACTGGGTTTCTGGTTACGTGTGTTCTACTGTCATCACAGTTGTTAGGAAATAAAACAAGGTGGTTGGATTGCTTGGCAATTAGAAGAAAATGTAGGGTTTGTTTTGGTTTTCTTTTTTTCTATCCGCTCATTTGCTCTAAGCTTTTTTCCCAGCTGTCTGGTCTGGGATTTCATGTGACTGGAAGAATTAGACATATCCATCACGTATTAAACTCTACCTTAGTTATTTAGTATGTTGGAGGAATTCTTTTTAGATACGGCTTTGTCTTGTGTGTATTTGTAGTTTTGCGGTATGCATTCAAATGCACCACTAGCGTAGTCTTTCCTTCCTGGTGGATGGTAGGTTGATGTCTGACACCAGGTTGTTGTTGGGAGTGTCCCTTTTGCAGTGTGAATGCAAGGTCGTCCAACAGTTAGCTCTATGCGTGCACGGCATGTACCTGGAAACCAGCACCTAGTACAAACTCTTTTGACAGTAGACACAAGATTTGGACATAAGGTCCTACTGGATTGCACCAGCTGAAATCCTAGTTCTTCACTTTTTGTACTGCAGCAGTCAGTATTGTAGATGCACCTGTAAGGGTCGAATGGCTGAAGGTCTGAGGTCACTGTCTGATATCTGATAAGGGTCCCATTCCTGGTTCCTCGTGTGGTTTCCATCACCTCCCCCCCAGTGATGTATAGACAAGTTCTTGAATTAATTTGCTTCAATAAAGAACTAGTAAGGTGTGGGGAGAGTTCATTATCTTCAAAGCACACTAAGACCCAAGATGCTAAACACTTTAGATTCTGAAATGGAAAGTATGCTTTAGCAGTGCAATCAATAGGTATCCTTTGCTAGAGGATGTATCTGCATGGTCATTGCTGTCCTATATTACAGTACATTTCATTATGTGTGACCATCACGTTATGTAGCCGTCACAAATCCTAACACATAAAAATCTGAAGATGGAACTCTTGCTTAATTGAGTTACTTATTAAAACTAAGGCTGTATTTAACACTTTTATCAAAAGAGTGAAGTGAATTACTTACCTTTAGTTACAACTTTAGGGATTGTGCCAGTTAAATCTGAACTCTGATAAACAGATGACTTATCAGAAATGCAAGTGTTCCTGCAAAAATAAATAAATGTCTTCCCTCTTACACATTCTTGTTTCTCTGTCAGTCACTGTTGCTAGTTTATAGGTGTTCACAAGGAAAAAATAACAAACCTATCTGCAGCTGGTGGAAGGGTCAAGGACTTGATGCATCCTCTCCAAACTGAGGGTTGGTTTTTTCAACTGCTTTAGTGGACTTCTTCATGAGAAGTAAAGTCTTTAAGGCTTACACTATTCTTACGTGAATACCCTGCTGTTCTGCACTTGCTGGGTCTGTACCAACAGCTTTATAACTTCAAAAACTGTTGGTCAATGCTAGGAAAAATGCAAATGCTTTTCTTTCTTTGAACCAGAAATTCTATGCAGGTCTCAATTGCTTTGTGTATTACACTTTCATTTGATTTGTTTTACAAAGCTTTTTTTCCTGCCTTCTGGTTGTTACCTAAACTGAATTCTTAGTATCTTTAAGAAGGCCTCTCAAGACCTAATAGAGTATACTTTACCAATTTGATACTAAAAGTTGATGAAGGCATCTATTGTGCTATGAAACTCAGATTTAAAATAAGCAAAGTGTTAACGGTTACAAAACTATAGTGATTTAGAAATGTTTATTGTGAACAAAAAGGGACTAAATATCATAAGAGCAGAAACATAAGGGGTTTTTTTTGTTTACTGTAAAACTAAGCATATTCTTATTAAGCCACATTAGTTACACTTGAGGTACCTTTAAAAAGATGACACACACTGCATTTATCTTTTGTATTATTCTGTCTATCCTCTTAAAGCACCCTTATTTAACTGGGAATTGTAATCTCACATGACAACACCAACTAGAGAGTTTAATTTCAAAACTGTTTGTTTGAGGTAGCATGAAATTGTTATCAATGGCTGCCAGCAGGCAAAAATATCTCTGAAGGCAAAGAAAAGATTTTATATTCTTTATGCCAGATTAAATATTAGGGTTCCTGGAAATATTATGCAAGTTCAGAAACGTGCAAAAAGTGCATAGTGTTACACCCATTTTGGTTTTTGTTTTGAGTCTTAAGATCTTTTTCTAGCAGTAACACTTGCATCCAGTGTATCTGTAAAATGAACAAGAGAAGAAATGGGGCAGATCCTTTCATGTGATGTACTTGAGCTTAGCTTGTACAGAATGTACAAAAGCCTGGTGACCAAAATGTGACTGATTCTCTGGAGACTCATGGCAGCTATGATAACTTAACAAGAGGTTAAAAAACAAGTCACTGTATCCCGAGAGTAGTCTACTTTTTTTTTTTTTTTTTAAGTGAGATTGGCCAGATAAATACTCCTTGAAAAATCTGAATTGTTACACTAGTGGCAAAGCCTAGAAAAAAAAATTTGAGATTTTAATTCTCAAAATAAATATAATTTCGCCCCCATCCCCCCTTCTCCATTTGCAGATGTCTCTCCATCTCTATAATGATTCTTCGTTACAGTTTGAATTTACAGGAACCCACACAGCTGAGTTGCACGAAGAATGTTTCAGTTCCCTTCTAGAATCACAGACAGATTGCTGTTGGCCCATTCTAACATGTTTTGCAAAGGAAAAGAGAAGCAGTGTGTTGGCTATCAGAGATTTCTCAGGTGGCAGTGCACAATGCTGTTAGATCAGTGAGAACATATAGTTCTGTTTCTTTCACAAGAACAAAGTTTCTCCCTCACAACAGGCAAATTGACCTATCTGGCTTGAAGCGTTAAGCCTCTTCTTGAAAAGAAATGCCAGTGTATTTCTATTAAACTCTGTCTGGAATAGCAAAAGTAAAATATCAGTAATGGTGAAAATAAAGCATACCTTTATTATGCAAGACATGAGATTTGTGCCTTTTTCAGGTCTATAATGCTCTCTTTGCCAAGAAAAATGTTAGATGAAGTAGCATTAATTTTCAGTATGAAGCAGACTGTTTTGAAACAAGCATTTCACCTGTCAGAGAAAAAGCTCTGCAAAGAATGTATTTGCCTGTCTCTTGTGAATAATCCCATTTGATTTTTGACAGGAGTATTATTCTAAAAAGGAGAGTTAATCATGGGCATCAGTCTTTGCAAGGCAGAGCCTAACCCAGTCTGTTCTGTTGGTACTAAAATTCAGTAGCACAGATTTTCAAATTTATGTCACTGGTATGTTTTTGTTGGTTTTATTGGTTGAAATTTGAGTAAGAATAGTTTAAAGTTGAAGTCCCATTTCTACAAGCCTTAAAAAGAATAGGCCAGCAAGCAATGAGCTCGGAGAATTCTAGATCAAAATTAAATTAAAACTAATTACGGCCTTTCCAGCTACAATTAATTTCTCTGTCTGCACATTCAGAGATACGGACACTGAATCTGTGAGAAATAAATGTTCATGGTCAATGCAAGAGTGACCTTCAGTTCCAAAGTACTTGGTTCTCAGCAGGGTATGCTGTGTGCTTTGTAAATACTGCACAACAGATAGGCAATATAGAAACAAGGGAAAGGGGGAACATGAAACTTGCCAGGTTACAGTTAGTTTAATAAACTTCTTTGAGGATAATTTTAGACAGGAATATGCTGCTTCAGAACATTTCTTTATTTTATACATGTAATATTAGTAAGATCAAAGTGTGTGTCTCAAATGTTGTGCATTTAATGGGTTGATACATTGATGACCTTTAACAGGGTTCATAAAGCAGTTAGAGGGAACTGGGAATTGATAGGGATTCACTACCTCAATTCCCTGTCTCCTCAAATCCAAGGCTAGTTTTAGGTCTTTAACATACCAGAAGTAGTATACATCTGTAACTTCTATAACACTAAACTAGAATGAACTACTATTGTTTCTTAGATCTTCCAATAGCATTTTTTTTTATCTTTTACAGGTCTAGAATTTGCATATTCAGCTGCTCCAAAATCTATGCAGAGTGCTATTATGGGGCTGTTTTTTTTCTTTTCGGGGATTGGATCATTTGTTGGCTCTGGATTGTTGGCACTGGTGTCTATTAAAGAAATCGGCTGGATGAGTAATCACACGGATTTTGGTAAGTTATTCTCAGTGTATTCATAGTCTATAAAGTAGAAGGCTTCCTTCAGAAGCAGTTAAGCATCAAGCATGTGGAACTGTTGAGTCTTAGCACAGTTATTATTAAAAAAATATCAATATGTCTACTCTTTTGTTAAAGACAAAGTTTCATCTTGCACATAAGTATGAAGTAATGTGACTATGCAAAATGATACATTGCCCTCATGAAAGCATGGGAAACACGCGTGTAGTATTTTACCTCTGTAAAGCCTGTCAATTACCTGCCTAGCTGTTATTGCATTTCATCACTAGAAATTACTTATAAATTTTTGTATTTTAGTAAAAATATTTAAATTATGTGTGGAAGAAGAATATATTTGGTATAAAGTATTGAAATTACTTTCTGTGGTTATGGGGAGTAAAATGTACCCATCTCTCTCTTAGTGATTATTCAGCTTCCTAGTTTCAAGAGACTTCAATGAAATTACCATGAGTTAATGTTGCATTTCTGTCTGCTAGTTAGTTATACTCCTAAAGAAGTCCAATGTATTGTCTGCTTTGTATTGCCAATTGAAGTTAAAAATAATTATTGGCACCAGTAGGTGGCACCTTGGGAATTTCAGTAGATCATACCGTCATCAGTGGGCTAATTAGTTCTAATAGAAGGAGCGTGAAAAGTTACTAAAACGTATGCTAGACCTACTGCATATACATGGCTTAAAAGTGCAGCCTAAACTTACTTTAAATTTAGTATGAGAGAATTTGCCATTTAAGCTTGATTTGCATGCTACCAAAAAGTAATGTTGTCTGGAACAGTATGTATGCCACAAGTTGTCATCTTTGGTTTATAACTTGTTCTTTAAAAAACTACAAAAGATGACAAGTAGCCTTAACTTTATGGAAGTGTCCTCACCAAATGAAAATTTAATCACATTGAGACTTTTTTTCCCCAGTCAATTTCAAAATTAGAAGAGTATATTTTTCTGCAATTCTATATAGAGATAATTCAGTTGATAAAGGCTCAGTAGGAGGATAATAATTTCATACAAGTTAATATATGTGATATTTGATGGTGCTTTTTTAGCCTCTTGCCTTTGTTTTCTGAAGCAGGCTAAGAGAAGACAGTGCCTAATATTCTCTCTGTAAAATATTCAGGTTGTGCTAAATATATCCAGAGTTGGTTAGAACTGGAAGATGTTACCTTTCATGACTCATTGGTCATCTGTTTTGAATAAGCTACTCAGCTCAGTGGATTGTTCTTTGGACAGCTGTCAGAACTGGGTATTTCTACCTTTCTTAGTCCAAGGACTCGATACACAATTGAGCCTTCTCAGCAGCTATACATCTGGCTCAAGGTTGAAGCACTCAGTGGGTGATTTTGATTTGTAGCATCCATAGTAGCTACTGTTATAACTGTTTATATCAGTAACTGTTTATAACTCAATTTTCATTGGTATAACATGGAAAGTTACCAAATTCATATCTAAAATTTACTTAGGTCTTCCAGGGTAGGACTTGTAAGGAGTCGTCTTTATGAATGCATGACTTCGGAATTTTTCATTAGATGCTGTATAATAACTGTAAGCACGTGCACCGAGTTTCTGCTGTTTATGCTAACTCATAATATCATTTGAGGTAACTGACTGCCTCCAAAATCTACTGAGAAAGCTCACTCTCTGCTGGCACTTCAGTGTTGATTGCTGCCATTGAAATGACTGTTATTTCTCTGACAAAAACTGAGATTTCATGGGTTTAATATCCCATGTCATAAAGGATAATTACAACTCTTTAAACACGTCTGCTCTTGAAATGGAGATTCACATGTATATTGTATTTTAAATGTCAAGGAAAGACTCTGTTTAATTTTATTGCATTTTATTATAAGTTCATTTAATTGAATCTTAAGTTTCAGTAATTAAAGTAATTTAATCTGAACATTTATAGGCATGCTGCATGAACAGCTTGTTAGGATCGATGTATACTTCACTATTTTTACTCTCTCTAACCTTCTTGATAATCATAATGGTCCAATTGGCTGTGGCTCATGTGGCATGTTGGAAATGAGCCACAATATATTGTTCTTGGAAGTACAGCAATAGTTAGTGCACATTTCTTAATAGAGGAATAATATTTTAGCAATGAACTTCCTTAATTTAACATTATTTAATCTGGTACAAATCACTGATTTAAACAAGTTTGAGGGAGTGTCAAAGGTGAATTGAACCAAAAAGAAACCATGTATGGTTTCATGAATTCTAAACTTTGCTCCAAAAGAAGGTTGAGACAAAATCTCAGTAATTGCTTTCTTTATATCTACAGAGTTGCCAAACTTTTTCCTTAATAGCATTCATTTTTTGATTCTTTTTATTTTATCTTTGACTTAGCAGAGAAGGGAGGTACAGGCCTCCAGATGCAGAGTGACCGTATAGCATTAAGCAGGGCTGCTTTAGTATATATAGTACAAAAAAATTGTACTTTTACCTGTTTCAATTAAGCTATAAAACATAAGAGATTTTCTTTTTTTTCCTTGACTAAAGCCTTATCACTTCACTGTATTCTCCAGGCTCCTTAAAAGCCCATCTAGTGAGGATGGTAAAGGCTTTAAGTTACTAGCCTGTATGAGTGTAGCTTTGCTTCCATCCTGAATGCTGCATTTCATTGGGAGCTGTTTCTGAACAGTTTATAGTGCAGGGCTTTATTTGCAGAAATTTTTTTCAAGTCCATTTAGTGGCCAGTACAGGGATGTTTTCTTTTTTTCTTTTGAAATGAGTTGTCTTCTCAAAAATTGATAAGTGATCTCTATTACTTACATTACGAGTAAAGTAAATCCTATATGAAAATACACATTGACGTTTTTAGCTGTTTTATCTGAAGTCAGCAAAGCATTGCAATTTTGCAGTAGAAACCAGACTTCAGAAAAAAGGGGGTGGAGGGGGAAGAAGGGAAGATTATGAGCCTATTAGCCTTTTAAAATTGTTTTGACTCTCATGAAGCATGCCCACTACTATATGTGTGTAGTCTTTGGACAAAGTTCTTACAGAGGTAGGAGGAGCTTCCAGCAATTTTTCAATTCCAGCAAAAAAAAGTAAGAAGTCATGCAGTAACAGCATATCAGTTTCTTCAGGGACATTACTTGGTTTAAGGCATTGAAGCACAGAAGAAAGCAATCCTTGTACTGCGTGCATCTTCTGAAGAAGTTCCATCTTTTGCTCTGGGCAATTAAAAACAAAACTATGCTGTCGGATGGAAATGTGAGTTGGTTTGGTTTTGCCCATGTTTTGCAGAAACTCTCACTACTCAAGCTTGAAGGGATTGACATTGTTATTTGTATATTGTTTATTAATGTTTTTTTTTCTCCCCAATTCTCTCTAGGTAACATTAATGGCTGCCAATTAAACTATTATTTTTTTTTGCTGGCTGCTATCCAAGGAGCAACCCTTTTGCTTTTCCTTATTGTTTCTGTGAAATATGATCATCAAAAATCAAAGATTAATGAAGTGGCTGCCAATGGGAGGATCTGATATCTGTTACAGAGCAGACTTTATTACAGCAGCACACAATGAAGTGGCAGTGCACCCTAAGTCTGCGAGATCTTATGTTTTCTCCAGTGAGACTCTTACTAGACTTGCATGTTACAAGAGTTCTCGCCCCTGCCCCCTCTCATGTAACGTAGGTAAGTGCCTTATGTTGGCGGGGCTTAATTCTTGCACTACGTCCTGGCGGAGGACAAACACAAATCTTGGAAGTGTATTAACTCTAGGCATTCAAGTTGCTCTTTGTTAATCGTGAGATGTTTACTTAACTCTTGAAAGTTGGGACACTTACACTTGGAAATTGAGTATAACGAGTGACATGGATTGTTCCTGACTGAAAAACTCTGCTTAGTGAAGAGCAGTGGATCTAGAGAAACACTCAACAGTCTCAAGCCTACATTGAGGGACACCAGAAAGAAAACATTTTACAGAAACCTCAAGTAGTGGTTACAAGAATAAATTTTCAATCCTGAGAGTCATTTTTGGGGGAGAAACAGGGACAAATTAAACTGCAGATTAGGTCAGATCAAAAAGAAATGTAGTTTTATAATTGACCTTTCACTGGCAGCGTCTCAAGGATTTAAGTCCAAACATGCAGTCAAAAGTATCCAATACTGAAGACTGCGTTATATGTCACAGTAGCTTGTCATATAGCTGCTGTAAGTTTTGGTGCACAATAAACACTTGTTGGGACTGAAATGGTTTTACTTCAGAAGTGTTTTTATTTTTGAATCTGCATTAGATGTATTAGGGCAATATGGAAACATACATCTTTTGACAAAGCACTGTTCAGTCTAATGCTGTTACTTCCCTAAGGAATATTCTAAATATTTGCAGAAAGAAAACTGAGATTGAATTCTCAGAAGATGAATGCGCAATAACAATTTAGAAGCCTTTCAGCCAGTTCCTTCAGTCTTGTGTCTTACTTTGAGCTAACATGCTACAGGGTTTGTATCTTTCAGCAACACATTCCTATAGCAGAGCAAATGATTTTATGTTCAGCCTCTTGAATTTGAATGATTCTAACAATTGTACTTAAGATTGTGCACAGACTGGTATGGAAGATGCAAGGAATTATGCAGAAAGAAAATAAAAACTCAACTTTTTATGTGTTGAATTTTTACATTTTCCTTTGTCTGCGTGTATGTTACTTTGTTAAAATGTCCTTCTTTTGTACATGGACATCTTTTTAATGAGTTTACAAAATAAAATGAACTTCCATGCTGTGACTTTTGACCCTTTGTTTCTAAGTGAATAAAATTATACTACAAATACTTTGTTCTTTAGACTTTATTTCCTAAATATACAGTGGAATCCTAAACGTCCACTGGCATTCTATTAGTTTTGTCAGATAATATTGCAGTATGCAAGCTGTCCTGTCTTTGCCAAGATAAATCAGTGGAGATGCTTCAGCTATTGCATTACTTAGTATGATTTAGAATTGGAATAACTCAAGAAAATAAGTAAGCAACATCTCATGTGAGAAAAAGCTAGTTTCCTTTTCTAACTTGTCTTAAAAGCTCCACATGCTATGTTTCTGGAATATCCCACTTAAAACCAGCTAAAAAGACCTGATATTAAGATGGTATAAGCTGCATAAGGAACATATAGGGTCCAAATAATTTCTGTCTTGAATGTACGCTGTTTTAGTCACAGACTTCTGATATGGGGATGAATCTGTAGTGTTTCATGTTTATTTCATTAATTTCCAAAGCACATATAATCACAGGAGAGAACTGGGTTGTGCCTGCTAAGTAGTATTCTACTAGATTTGTGAAGATTTTGCTTTTAGAAGTGTTCCTTCTTCTGAAGGACTAGTATTCTCAGAACCTCCAAGACTAGTGTTGCTTCTGGTGTTAGATGTCATCAGCTTTGGTGTCTTGTATGCTTATCCCTTTTCCAGTAAGTGAACTTAATTAATTTCACTATTTTTTTCCCCAAGATCTAAAATTTTTCAACAGCATTCATAGATTTCCCATCTGATGTGGGTCTGCCGCTTATAGTTAAAACTGAGTTTAATGAAGAATGGAGAGTAATCTGCAGATTACCAAAGAAACTAGGTGTTGAACAGTAGCTGCGACAGTCTGTGTAGGCAAGCTTTAGTGAAACTATTATTTAAGGAAAAATATACTCAATAAATACTAGGTTAGCCTACTCAATATTTAGGCAAATATCTTTTACCCTGTTACAATCATACAGTAAATGTCTGCATGTTTCTGTAGGGCTGTGGTGGTTCTAACACTCGGGAGATGAGACTGAACATGCAATCGCTTGTATAATTTAATTTTTATTTAGAATGACTTGGCTGAGCTCCAGGCACAAGTAATTATGACCATTTATGAAGATTAATCTGACACTTCTCACCAAAGATAAGGCCTTTTTGTGACTCAAAGGCTTAGCTGATTCCTCCTCCCCATCTTATCTTTTAGTGTTTCCACTCCAGTCACAGAAATAAGACTAATCAATTAACTTTTTGACTGAGCACTGCACCTCATTAATGAAATACCTTGAAGTGTACAGTTTGAATTTAGTTATGTTCACTTCATAGATTGTTCCAGTGCAATAGAAAGATCTGACAGGAGTCACCCCAGTGGACGTTTCTAAGCCTCTGACTTTCCAGGTGTCTTAAATTCAAAGCACAACATTGAAAAGTAAGTACTTGTTCAACATGAGAACAGGTATCTGATTAAAGTTCATTACTTTTACCCATAAAGAATTATGAAAAAAATAAGCGTATACCTTACAGTGCCCGTGCAAGCTATAATCTAATCATCTATCAAGAACAGCTGCCCGGGACCCTGTGTTTCATTTGAGATTATAAGGTGGATGCATTGCTCATAATTGTGGATCTTCCAAGAGTAGAGCAAGACTGCTTTTCTCATGCCTTTGTGTCTACAGTCTATACTGACTATCCCTCCTCAGAAAGGGGAGTCTTTTTTCATCTGCTTATATAAACCTCCGAAGTGAGTTTAATTACAGTAGTTGAGGCATCCTTCAGTATTTCGCTTAAAAATCTGTAGTCAACTCTGTGAGTTGTTTTTGTTTTGTTTGTGTCTTTTTGGTTCTTTAACAGAAGCTGCTTAGGGCTGACACCTGTCAGACAAGGTTTCAGCTTAACAATAAACCTGTATTAAAAGATGCATGGAGTTCTTAACATTTTTTTTTTTTGGTGTTTGAAATTGCTTTTTGAAAAATGTTATCCTAGTGATTTTGTTTATATGCAGGGCAAGTTATATGTTGGTGCAGACAAGCCTTCTGGGGAAACAGATTACAATGCTTTCCATTTGAACAGTCAATAGTTTGAGACGCAAATTAATCTCTGAGGAAGCAGAGAATTTGTAGACCAACATTCAATGCTGCTGGTGGAATAATGCACATACCTGAGAGCATGGTACCTGCTGGCCCCAGAGCAAGGATGTCACTGCAGTGAAAGAATAAGCTAAGGTCAGAAGCTGTTAAACGATAAGCATGTAAACAGACACCTTGCTCCAGGTAGCACTAAGTTCAGAATAGCAATGAACAGTGCTTTCAGTCAAGATTGCCCAGTGACAGTTAATATAATCTGGCTGTTGGCTGTTTCTTCATGTCATGTACACAATATGGTTTAATAGTCCTTTCCATCTTGGAATTAATTTTTCCAGTTCAGTATTCACAGCATAGATTTTTGCTCTAATTCAGTGGAAAGAATAGTTGTCAAAACCTAGTTACATAGTAATTGGATCCACTTACAGTGGTTTTCAAATGAGTCTTACTATGTGACTAGTAATCCCTTACCTACAGTCTGTTGGACTTAAAAGATCATAATGAAGGATGAAAAACATTACACTTTTACAAGCACAGAATTGGGAATTAATTACAATTCATCCCACTACCTTCATTCTGCCAGTGGCTGTAGTAATGCTTGAAAAAGGAGGTAAAATAACCTAGCGTGTTGAGGAATGATCAGAACAGAAAGGACTAGGAAGTTTAAGTGGCTACTTTATATCCTGAAGGATGAAAGCTTACTTTTCCTTCCCTTCTTTGATTAATTCCATACTCCATTATATATATTTTTTATTATCTTTCTTAAACATGCTTCCTTTATCAGGACTTTCTCCTACAGTGACTAAGTTCAAAATACGTATGTAACATTAATGGATGTCCTTTAGTGGAAGGAATGTCTGTACTCAGCTGAGCTGTGACTGCATTTTATGTGGACAGTCCTGAGCTAGCGAGCTACCGACCGGAGGAACTACAGCACAGGTCGGTATGGACGATCCTTGGCTGGCTCTGCTGCCTCAGAGGTACATGTCATCAGCGTCCACACGCACTGCAGGCACATGGAGGCTGCAGTGTAGACATACTGCAATACTGTATTCCTCCTTCGGTGCATAGCTACCCTACAGTATTTTACTGTAAGACTTCTCATCCCCCTTACTAGGAAGTGTTTGTCAGCAATGAGATTTAGTGATACAACAGAGTCCATAAATCACTTTTGACAGGGAATAGAACACTTTAATGAACAAGGGAAAACAAGGTAAATATTGCTTAGGCTTTTGAAGATGGAACCTCAAACAGATAACATCCTTTCTGAAAGCTATGAAGCATACTTGACTATCTCTGCACATCTAATGCTGTACATCACAATCTCTTCCTATCTATCCCATCACCTTTTCAAGAGAAGTTTTCTCTTGGCTCTGAACTCTCAGGAGACCCTAAGGTCTTGAATTGTTCTGCCTACTGTAGCTATGGAAACTGGTTAATGCCGTGTATCAACACAAAATGACTATAGCATATTTAAGTAATAATAACTGTTAACTTGATCGTAATGACAAATGGCTTTACTGTCAGGCAAGATGCTATAAACTACTAGTCTGCAAACTAAACATCTGTGAAGAGCAGTGTTCTGCTCGGAGTTAGGATGAAGGGGCTTGAGGGAGAAGATGTTAAGGGCTGGTGTATAGCTCCGAGTTTTAGGCAGATTGCTATGCAGACGCTGCAATAATTAAAATGTGGGGAAGGGTTCCCATTAATTAATTTCACATTTTAGAACTTTGTCAAAATGATCCAGAGTTAAAACAACTTCCTAATGTTGTCTGGCAAATTAATATCCTGCACAGGAAAATCTGGATTAAGTTCCTAGAATGAAATAATTAAGATGACACGTTGGCAGACTTTGAAGTGAGTTTTCATCCCACTCGTAGCTAGGTGGAAGATAACGCAATTGCGGTAATTCTGGAGCCAAGGAACATGTGTGAGATCCTAGTGATGCCTGTGAAGTGCAACTTCACATTTAAATTCTTGTTCTTTCCTTTGAAAGATGACCCA